AAGCTGGAGACTGAAGGTGTCACTTGCCCGCACCGCGAAGGAGCCCTTGCGTGGGGACAGAGCGCCATCTAGTGCTGGTGTGGCCTCAGCACATGCCACAAACGGGGGAAGTCAGGCGCCTGCCTCCAGGTAAATCAGGTGGAGCTCACACGGGCACTGACAAATGCCAGAAGAGCTGGCATGTTACCTCTCGATACTGTGAGGTGAGTGTTGTCACCATTTTATCAGTGACGCTGTGGGGATTCAGAAAGATGAAGTCATTTCACCAAGGTCCCATGAAGTAAGGCAGGGATTTGAACTCGGTTCTTCTGACTCCCAGGTCATTGTCTGCACCCTGTTGACTTCCTAGCTTTGCTGGGGGACAGGAAGGGCCTGAGCATCTCAGGATGAGGCTTGAAGTTCTTGAGTGATGCCTCAGCCCCGCAGGAGAGGACCCGGATGCCATGACAGAGCTTGCATGGGCCTGGCCACCGCCTGCCTGTGCCACCTGGGCCCACGCTGCTCCCTCAAACAGAGCTGAGCCCTGGCTCCTCCGCCCCACCGGCTGCGTTCCTGACATTCCATTCCATTCCGCACTTTCCTCACTTCTGGGTCTTTTACCTCCCTGCCCCATGCAGTACATTCCATCAGGAACCTTGTCTTTCTGCCCTCAGTGTCTAATCTGGTGCTTCTTTACTAAGCATCATCTGCCAAGAAGCCTCGCCCCACCCGTCCCAGTGCCAGGCCACCTGTCAGTCATCTGCTGCCCCAGCAGACAGCCACCCTGGTCCCCGGTGCCTAGCACGGTGCCTGATCCACGGTAGGAGGCTGACCAGTGTCTTCCGACAGGTGGATGAATGTCTGGCTCGATGGCTGGATGGACAAATGGATGAGACGAGAGCTCACTACCCAACTGGCCTCACCACTCGCTGACCAGCCAAGTTAGCCGATGAGCCCGTCAGGACAGAGCATCACGGTGAGGACAGAAGTCTAAGGGCGACTGGCTTCATCCTGGACTGTGGACTCGCCATGCCTTCTCACAATTAGGTCAGTTCTAGATCACACCTGAATTGCCCAGCGGAGTGTCTGGAACAGGTGCTGGCAAGTATACAGTCTCATGGAAGACAATCCCAGAAGTTGCCTGGTCAGTGGTCCAGAAAACCCCCAGCTGGCAACCTGGGCTCTGATGCGGAAACTTCTCTGCTCCCAAGGTTGCAGGCGAGCAGAGGGCAGTGTCCTTGTCTGCTTGACTTCAGAGGAGCCTTAATAACGAGACGGTCACTTTCTCAGAGGTCCCTAGAGCTGAGTGCCTGACATTGGAGAGTGGGGCAGTCCTCCTGAGGCCACACTTCAAATGGCTTGAACAAACAAATGGCTTGAAATGTTCAGAGCGGGGACATGGAGGGAGAAGAGGAAAGCGGAAATGGACTACGAAATCTTGGGTGTTTCCAAAGAGCTGTCACTACGAGGGAGACGATTGATTTATTGAGTGCCCATAGTACATTGGCACTATTTCATATTCATAATGAGCCAGTGATGTAGACATTCTGGGCTCCATTTTACAAAGGGGTAAATTAAGGCCCAGCTAGAATGCTCCTTCCCAACCTCTCTTCACTTTCATTCCTGTTGGGTTTTGTACCCCTGAGTCCTCAGAGCCCTGGAAAAGAGACAGTACTCAGGACATGAGGTCAGCGGCCCCAGATGGACGTCTTTCCAAAGCTCCCTGAGAGCCCGACACACAGCCTGCTTCTCCACTAAGCCCGGCACAGCTGGCCCACTTTGGCCTACCCCTGACCCGTGCAACTCATTTCCTCCTTTTTTCCCATTATAAACATAAATGCATATATTTCATTGGGGAAACATCAGATTGAGAATCCCAGAGGCTCAAATCATTTCTCTAACCCAGCGTGACGGTGGCAAGAAAGAAGTGCTATTCACAGTCAGCTCCCGACTACCCTGCCCCAGGCTCCAACTGGAATCTAGAAGGTTCTCTTTGGTGGCTGAGTTTTTATACAAAACATGAGAGACGGAAAAGAGAAAAAACACGGATAAAGAAAGGGCAGGTATTTTAAGCCCCCTCTTGTAAATGTCCTTTTCTTTCACCAGGTAGGGTCCTTTTCTTCTTTTTTTTCCTGGAGATTTTAAAAGCTTGCACAAGTGCTCATCCCAGTGTTTTCTGCCTGTTTATGCTGGATGGGTGGACAACCACACCTTCTGGACTCCCTGACCTCACCTGTCTTGGCACCTGAGGACCGATTCCTTGTTCTTCCTTCATTGGGCTTTTGGTATGCATGCTTGCTGCTTACCTGGGTCATGATAAAACTTTTGGCTTTTGACTTCCGGGAAATAGAGATGTCCACCTGTCAGACCTTCAACCTGGCTTCATTCTGACCCTTGTGCAGTGTATCCTGTCCCAGATCTTTACTTACCCCACATGCCCTGGAGTAACAGAGGATGGGGAAGAGATATTTGGGGGGAGAAATGGCTCTGCTTCTGGTCTCCAGTACTCAGCTTTGGGGGACATTGGAAGGAATGGAGGAGGAGGTCAGCAGGGCATAAGGCATCTCTGAGTGGCCACAATGACAGCCTCAGGTGAGTGAGGATAACACATGAGTGACATAGGAGGGCAGTTCAGACCATCGAGAAGCTAGAAGGGAGATTCTATCAGGCTTAACTAACTTAGATAATAAATACCATCCGCACCACACCATCACACTGTAGCCCAAGTGTCATGAACGAGATGATAGTATCACGTTCCCAACCCCCAAAATCTTCCAAATTTCATTCATGGGACCAAAGCAATAGCTGTTTAATTAAAACAAACATTTACAATAGCAGAATCTAAAGACAGAGATACTGACAAATAAATAAACATAAAAATCTTGGCTATAATACATGATCATCACTTATAAAATTGGTAATATCTCATGTACCTGGAACTTTATGGAAAACCATTTCACATTTCATCATTTGGAATCAATAAAGGTTTTTCTAAGTAAAATTCTTTTATACTTCCTAAGCCTGGCTTAGAAAGTGTTTGCTCCTGCTAAGGGTCCATTTATCTGACCGTCAAGTTTCCTTTTGTTCTGCCAATGGGCACCCTTTTATCCCATCATTCAGCTTCCTCCTTTAGTTTTTTATGGGCTTGGAAACCAGACGGTCATGTTTATTAGACAGTTTGAAAATCGAGAATAAATAGGATTTTAATGAGTGGCTCTGTGTTGCTAACCTATGTGTAAAATGTATGGGCTTTGGGAAATGGCTATTATTCTGGTTTTCTTCCAGGTTCTGGGTTGGTTGGGATGCTGTTAAAGTGAGGCGGCATGGTAGTGCAAAAAATCGAGTATACCCACCAGCCACTGATTAACTCTATGATATAGCATGGATTTGTTGTTCTTCTTTAAACTAGCACAGAGGGATGCCTGGGTGGCTCAGTCAGTGAAGCGTCTGCCTTCAGCTCAGTTCATGATCTCATGGCTTGTGAGTTCAAGTCCCACATGGGGCTCTCTGCTGTCCATGCAGAGCCCACTTCAGATCCTCTGATCCCCTCTCTCTCTTTCTCTCTCTCTTCAAAATAAATAAAAACTTAAAAAAATAAAAATAAAGTAGGTACGGAGAGGGTATGGAGAATTATTTGAAATGGATAGTCCATAGGTCAAGTAAACAGATTGACACTTGTTACATGCAGGGAGCCCTTTGAGAATTCAGGTGTTTTAAATCCATTGGTTCCCACCTACCACCCCCCCCCCCCCCCCCCCCCCGCCCTCCGCCACACAATTCAATCATCTGGAGATATGGTAGCAGACCATCCAGTGACCTCAAATGCCAGAGCCAGCCCAACCCACCTGGACTCTGCCAAGCCTCTCATATTCTGTGTTCTTAAAAGCTCAATATAGCCCCACCCCACCTCCACACAATTGAAATTTAGCCTATGCCTCCACCAATTTATAGATGCTGGTACAGTTGTTTAAGGACATATTAGTCCCTCTTCAGATCTTGAAACCTAGACTATTACTCCAAATGGGATATTTGGCTAAGGCTATTTAAAGTTAAGCCTATTTAAATTGGATAGCCATCATCTTCAAGCGACCAAAATGTGATCGACAACAACATAAACTGTAAAAAGGCTTATCATTGAATTAGCAGTAAGTCTAGAGATAGATGATTCCAGAGTTGGTTGAGTAGCTCAATAAAGTCATCAGTGGCTCAGGTTCTTTCCATCCATCTGCTGTGCCAACTTCACGCACTGGATTTCATTCTCAACCTTGTTGTAGCATAAGCCTTGAGAGCTGTTGTTATTTTCTCTCTTGTAATGCAAGGATCTGACTTAGGCTTTGGTTGACCAGCATCTTGAATAAACACTTTACCAGCCATAGGACTAGATAGAGAGATCTTGGTTCATTTCTATAACTGACCATTTGAACCTCTTGTTTCTGTTTTTCCCCCCTCTTCCCACTTTAAATTCCCACTCTTGTGTTAAAATTCACCAACAGAGAATGAACCCATGAAACCCTGCCCACAACCCCAGTAAAAGGAGAACCCCAGGCATTCTCTCCCTCTCTCTCTCTCTTCCCCTCACAACAACCTCACTGTGCAGCCCTAGGGGTGCTATGTAATTTCCAGGTCTTATAAGTAATAAATCTTTATTTTTTCAAAGTTAAAAAAATAATAAATTGGACAGCCATGGAGGCAGTATTGTCAAAGGTTGACATACCAACTCTGGAGTCAGATTTCTTAGACCACGTCAGCTGACATCCCTGCTGTGACAAGGTTGTGGCTGGAGAATGACAATTGGTCTTTACAAGTCCAAGGCAATCTTTGCTAACTCCTTTCCCTTTTTGCACACTGCCTATCCAAGGGGAAGTTCTGCAGAAAAGAAATCTTCCCAGCTGAGAAGGCGATGACTGGAGACACGGTCCTGAAGAACAGTAAATGGGCTGAATGTGGATTGGTTTCAGTCAAAGGCTACCTTTGAGCCACATGCAGAGTTCTCAGTGAAGGCAGACAGGGCTCCAGCCTTCTCAGGAGTACAGAGTCATCATCAGCCACTGAATATATTGGGGAAGCAAATTACGGTCAGTGCAGGCCCACCTGTGACATTCAGCTAAGGGTGCTTCATTTCTCTGTCACCAGACCCAGGAGGCTGACACAAGACTTAGGACCTCCTCCCCCTCATTCCTGGGAAGCCACAGAGACAGGACATTAATGGATGGTTTAGCCAGAGGGACCACACCATCTGGTAGTAAGTATAAATCAACCTGAAATATAATCAACCTTGACTTCTCATGGTGCCGGTGAATGATGATAACCAAGATACAGGCTGATTCTGTATTCAGTTCTCAATGCAATTTTCCGCCATGAATTCAACTTGGCATGCTCATGACAGCGGTGTGCAGGTGTGTGGACCAACTGGGTAACAGAAATCCATTAGAGTCTATTCTACATGTTTACATTTAAGGGCCCATTTGTCTGACAGCTTTATGTGGGTGTGATGAACAGCCCCTCTAACTCACACAGAGAGAACCTTTGGAGAAACCACTCCCCAAGCCAATTACATCAAAATGGTGATACTGATGATGGTGGCGATGAAGATGATAATGTGAAGTTACCAATGGCGTCAGAGAAAACCTGCGTGAAATTCTAACAAGTTGGCTGCCACTCCCTGTAGGCCTCCTTGGATGGCCCTAAGGATCTCTTTCTATGGAGCCAGAGGTGGTTACAGCTGAAGAGGGCCTTAGAGACCACCTAGCCCAACTCATTCATTTTACATGTGGGGAAGCTGAGGCCCAGATCTATTCAAGTTGATTTGCCTAGGGTCTCACAGCTAGTTACAGGAGTGCTGTGGGTTCTACCTGGGGCTCAGTCCAGTTCTCTTTCCGTGATGGCACATTGCATTGCTGGGGTCTGCTCAGGCTGTGGACTACCCTGTTTCATGAAGTCCTGCTCTCCCAGCTCTGAGTCTGCACTATATAAGCACTGCTTGGGATCTGGACATGAGCTTGGGGATTTGAGATGGAGATGGACCCAGAAGATTCTAACCATTGTCCCTCTAGCTGAATCTTACCTTCACACTCAGACATGGCCATGACTGAGGTGAGACACATGCTGAGGGTCCCAATATCTTGGGAAAATATTACATGAAATGGACATTTGAGGTCAAGGAAGAAACCTCAGCTTTTACTAGGACCTTTTTAAGCAGCCCAAATAGAAGATGTGTTTTTACAAAGAAAGGGCAGATGGTTTAATTCCAGATTCCAGTGTCTTTGCAGCAAACCCCACTTGGCACCACATCTGACACATAGCAGGTACACAGTAAATCCGTGAGGTTTGAAGGATCGGGCAAGACAATCAGTGTCAGGCACAGATTTGTCCTCTCGGTTTATCGCCTCTTTCACTCAACAAACATTCGTGAAGCTCCTATTACATGCAAAGCACACTGTATGAAGTTCAAGAAGAGGACATCCAGACAGATCAGAATCCCTACCTTTATGGGGAAGGCTAAGCCAGCTGTTGAGAAAGATCTGACACTGATCTTTCCAGACATCTTAAGCCAATTTTGTCATTCTTTATACTCTAGCCAGGACTGCACACAATGTTCCCTCTAAAGGAGGGAGCCTTTCCTACTCTCCACTCTGCCTCCCTGGCTCCTTCTGATCTTTAAGGTTTCAACTTCAATGTCACCTCCTCCAGAAAGGCCTCTGTGAAATGCCCTATTCAGACCAGCTATCTTATTACTGTCTATGCTGGACTTCATTGCTGGCCTGGGTCTTCACCCCCCTCTGTGTCCGTGCCCTCTGCAAGTGACTTTGATGTTCCTCTCATGACAAGGAGAAGGCTCTTTCCCCAAGTGCTGAAAGTAGGCTTGGCCACATGACTTGCTTTGGACAACAGAATGAGTTGCAAGGCACAATGTACCTGATCTCAGACACCCTGCGTGTTTAAGCTCACTTCCCTGTGCTTCTGCCATTGTCCTGAGACCATGAGACTAGCCTGGCCAGAGCTTCCTCAATGAAGGTACCCCAGAAAAGCCCCCTGTTCACCCACTGATCATGAGCCAGCCAGCTGAGATCCACTGACTTCCAGCCACGTGGCCGGGGAGCTCCATGAGTGTTGCTGTCACTGCTGAAGTTAGGTGGATTTGTCACATGGCATTATTGTAATCATAGTTATTGGGTCCCCTGAGTCAGTCTCCTGGTCCCTGCATAGGTGCCCAGCACAGAGTGAGTGCTTCGTAAAGAGCTGGCAAATAGACAAATAGGTGTAGTCAAGGCAGGGCTACATCCCAAACTCAGTAGAATGAAGGACCCAGAACCCTGGTCCTTCACATGGACATGCCGTGACCACCTCTCTCTAAGATGAGGTGTGTCAACCCCACAGAGAAGGGCTTACCTCTGGCTTCTGGAGGTAGATCCCTTTGCCATCTTGGGTTAAGTTCTGAAAGGCATCTGTGAACATGCACCAGAAAGGAACACAGATGTGTCTGGAGACATTACAAACTGGTTCCTCCATCCATCCCCTCACCTGCAAACCCGGTTTTAGCCTGTGTGCAGCCATGTGTGCACTTTACAAGTGTAAGTGAACTGCCTCAGACCTTTGCCTCTGGGACAGGCAAGGTATACATGAGTTTGGAGCAACATAGCTGGGTTTCTTGGGTGCAGAGCCAGAGTGCCCCATAGCTCCTGGCCTATTGTTTCCGCCCTGGTAGCTGTCTTCTCTCCTGCTTGGACTGGGGGCAGGTGGGCAATCCGTGAGGCATGCAGAGGAAGCACCGGCCCTGCCTCCTTCCCCCCAGCTCACCCTCCATGTACTCTGCACGCAGCATCAAGTGGACGAAGCTGACGAAGTCCATCTGGAGGTTGGGGCCGCCATAGCGGATAAGCATCAGCTGGCAGACGTCATTGCTGAGCATGATTCCTGCATTGAACACAGACTCCCCCCATGTGTGCTGGGGACCTCATATCCCCTCCCCTCCACCTGAGGCCCCTTGATTGAAATTGTCCCTCCCCTTCCAGGACCTGAATCCTGATAACACGGGGATCTTCTTTTATGGGGCTCATTAGTTTAATTATTAGCCAATTTTCTTTGTCTCATCTCAACTCCCCCTTCCTGCCCCCTTCGGCCACCAGCTCACCATCTTTTTAGTGAGCGGGTTACTGGCCTTCAAGGCAGGAGGCAGTCTATGCAGCCGTGGTCAAGAGCATCCGCTTTTGAGCCTGATCATCCTGGACTCAAACTCCAGACAACTTACCTAACTTGCCTGAGCTCTAACTTCTCCCTCTGTAAAGTAGGGATTATCCCACGGTGTTGAAGATTACATGAGAGAGTGGATGTTCCAAACCCCACCCCCCGCCAAATGTTAGCTATGACCATAGTGATAGCAATAATAAACCCTTCTGTTATTTGCAGATCCACATCTTTGGGCCTCTGGACTCAGGGAGCAACTGTGCACATTGGAATTACTTCAGAAGCCA